ATTTGTAAATGGTCATATATTGTAGTCGTCATTTACGTACTAAATCAAGCTTTTATTCAACCTATAATTGCACATAAATTTGTGTGGATTTATTTCTTTACATTTATGTTGATGTATCTTGATGTACTGATTCATAAAATTTTTGAAAACTGATGTATTGCTATATTTATGTTGCATTATAGTCGCTGCATGTATTCATATTCATATTTCCTATTTTCTGTTTCCTAAGGAGACATTGATGTGTTTGGTGGATTTTCTCTCTTTCTAATTTTTAATTCATTCATTTTCTCCCTGTTTTGCAAGTTTTTTAGGCACTAATTTAACATTTGGCTAGAACTCCAGGCATCCTCGATAAATAATTTCCCCAGATGTATTAGGTTTGTTTCATATCCCAAGTTGGTTGGCAAGGAAAGATGTATTAGTCTTTTCTAATAGTAGATACTCGTGCTTCAATTATGAACAGAGTAGGCTGTATACATGATACCCTTTTGTTCCTTTTATCAACTCAACTGACATACTGTAATTATGAAACAGCACTTTCAGCCATCAGAAGTGAGTATGCTGGCCAGGTGTTTGTGCATGCCTCTTGTTCCTATCCGCGTATGGAAGATCGCTAAGCAAGGGAGCCTCTTATGTCCAACATGCATAAGGTAATTGCAGTCTCTACATTTTGTTACTCACATTACAGTTGCATTTAGAAAATGATTTGACCTCTGTTATAGTGTATACAGTTTTGTTGTTAAGTAATTATTATTGTTGAGTCAACTAACTAGGGAATGTGATATTTGAGAGACATAGTTTGGCTTTCGGTTATTTTATTTTTTAAGGAGTTGGGATTAGATAAATACAACTTTGGTCAAGGGAAAAATAGTTTAGCCTACATTGAAGCCTGAAAGTGAATTATACGTTGTGTGGGGGTAGATCCTTGCTGTTAGACCGACTCCGATTCAAGTGTTTTTTAGCTATCTACCTTTTTGGGAAGATAGCTGTTTGTCACCGAAAACCTGTTAGTTCTTCATAGGTGATCGAATTTTTCCTTCTAATTTCGAAAATTTTGATGGAGCTGTATAAGAATAGATTTCGATAAGAAGTAATGTATTTTTA